AGAACTGGTTGATTTTAGTCACAAATTAGAGGAACATATGAAGGCTAAACTCATTGAAATGAATGGAAATGCACAGGAAACCAATAGTAATGGAAAGAAAACTGGGACTCAAATCAAGGGAGCAGACCAGAAAGAAGGGAAAAAATGACCAAACAGAAAAGAATGAAGAAACAAGAATTCAAAAAAATGAGGAGAGGCTTAGGAACCTCCAGGACATCTTTAAACACTCCAACATCCAAATTATAAGGGTACCAGAAGGGAAAGAGGAAGAGTCACGAGTGGAAACCTTATTTGAACAAATAATAAAAGAGAACTTCCCCATTCTGGCAAAGGAAATAGACTTCCAGGAAATCCAGGAAGCTCAGAGAGTCCCAAAGAAGTTGGACCCAAGAAGGAATACACCAAGGCACATCATCATTATATTAGCCAAGATGAAAATGAAGGAGAGAATCCTAGAAGCAGCAAGAGCTAAGAGGACAGTCACCTACAAAGGAGTTCCCATCAGACTCAGCTGATTTCCCAAAAGAGACCTTACAGGCAAGAAGGGGCTGGAAAGAAGTATTCCAAGTCATGAAAACCAAAGACCTACAACCAAGATTGCTCTATCCAGCAAAGCTTTCATTTAAAATGGAAGGACAGTTAAAGTGCTTCTCAGATAAGATCAAATTCAAGGAGTTCATCATCACCAAGCCCTTATTATATGAAATGTTAAAGTGACTTACCTAAGAAAAAGAAGATGAAAAATATGAACAGTGAAAGGACAGCAAACTCACAGTTATTAACAACCACACCTAAAACAAAAGCAAATTAAGAGGACAGCTAGATCAGGAGTGAGCCATAGAAATGAAGATCACATGGAGGGTTAGCAACAGGGGAGTGGGAGAAGGAGAAGGGGGGAGAAGGTACAGAAAATAAGTAGCATAGACAGTAGATAGAAAATAGATGGGGGGAGGGTAAGAATAGTAGGGGAAATATAGAATCTAAAGAACTTGAGACACATGTTCATAAACTAAAGGGAGGGGAATGGTGGGGGAGGGGTGTGCAGGGTGGAGGGGAATGAAGGGGGAAATAAAACAACTGTAATGGCATAATCAATAAAATATATTTAAAAAGAAAAAAAAAACATTTATACACCCAATATAAAAACCTAAATATATAAAGCAAAGACGTGGATATAAGTGAAGAGTTCAACACTAATATAATCAGTCATAGTGGGGGATTTAACACCCTATTGACATCAATAGATAGATCTTCTAGACAGAAAATCAATAACAACAACAACAAAACCCCAGCAGCCTCAACTGACACATGAGACCAGAAGGATTTAACTGATATTTTCAGAGCATTTCACCCCAAAGCAGCAGAATGTACATTCAAGTGCCATACAACATTTTCCAGGATAGACAACATGTGAGGTCCCCAAAAATGTCTCAACAAATTTTGAGACAAAAATGTCTCAACAAATTTTGAAATTATATCAAGCATCTTCTCTGCCCACAATGTTATGAAAATAGAAATCAATTACCCCCCCAAAAAAACCCCAAAGCCACAAAGACGAAAAACACACAAACATATACAGGCTAAATAACATGCTACTAAGCAATGAAAGAGAGCAAGGAAGAAATAAAAAATACCTTGAGACAAGTGAAAACAAAACCACAACAACCCAAAATTTATGGAACACAACAAAAGCAGTCATAAGAGGGAAATTCACAGACTACAGGTCTACCTCAAAAAAAAAACAAAAAAAAAACAACAAATAATGTAATGTTACCTCTAAAGTAACTGGCAAAAGAACAAACAAAACCCAAGGTGAGTAAAAGGAAGGAAATAATAAAGATCTAAAAATACAATTAAAAAATCAATAAAACCAAAAGCTGTTTTTTTTAAAGATGTACAAACTTTTAGCCAGGTTCATCAAGAAAGAAATAAAGAAGGCCAAAATAAATGAAATCAGAAATGAAAGACAAGTAAAAACTGACACCACAGTAACAAAGGATTTTAAGAAAATATGACAAACTATATGCCCCAAAATTGGACAATCTAGAAGAAATAAATGTATTCCTAGAAACACAATTTTTTAAGACTGAATCAAAAAGAAATAGAGAATCTGAAGAGATCAATTACAATCAATAAAATTGAAGCAGTAATAAAAAAGAGAAAACAAAACACCTCTTCTCCACCTCAACCAAAAAAAGGTCCTGAACCCAATGGCTTCACAGGTGAATTTTAGCTAACATTCAAACAACTAATACCTTTCCTTCTCAAACTATTTCAAAAAATTCAAGAGGAGTAGGACACTACAAAGAAAATGATAGGCTAGTATCTCTCATGAACATAAGTACAAAAATTCTCAACAAAATATCTGAAAACTGAATTCAGCAATACATTTAAAAGATTATGTAAAATGACCAAAGGAGATTTATTCCCAAGATGCAAAGATGCTTCAATATCTGCAAATCAATTAATATGATATGACACATCTGATCATATCAATAGATACAGAAAAAGCATTTGACAAATCCAGCACCCATTTATAACAAAAACTCTCAACAAAGTAAGAAGAGAGGAAACATACCTCAACATAATACAGACCATATATATATAACAAACACACAGTTTACATCAGACTCAGTGGGAAAAAACTAAAAGCATTTCCCTAAGATCAGGAATAAGATGGGGATGTTCACTTTTAGGAAGTTTTTGGCAAATCTGATACACACAACATAAATTAGGTAAACAACACATTCTGCAAACCCAACCCAGGAGTCAACTGTTTCTGTTAATATGCTATTAAATAGGGTAAAAAGATACTTGTATCAACAATTTTTACAGTAACCATGGGGTACTAGGCAGAATTAAAGTAACACTAAACACCACCTGCTAGATGCATAAAGTTTCACAACACATTTGGCAAATTAATTTCCATACAGTTTTAATAAATTTATTCATGCTGGGGATAGCCTACTAGTCTTCAGACACTTTAAAGTATTATCCAAAGAATATGAGTATGGTTTTCATACAAATGACATAAAATTTAAGGATTATCTAACAAAGATAAAAAATACTACATGTAGTTATTTCTCATTGTCACCCAATCCTACTATATCATGAAGTATAACAAATCCCCATGATGTCTCTTCATATTAAGCATTTGATTTTGCTTACTTTTACTTTAATTTAAATACAAAAGATCAAAGCATCAATTAGCAGAAAGGCTATCAACAACTACCTAAAATTTAAAAAACTTTATACATGTGTTTGAAAGATTTAAAAACTGAGGCATTATCATTAATGATTTAATCATTCAGTTCAGCAGATGTATTTACTATATATACTTTACTTTCTACACATTAATAACATATAACTTTAAATAATTCAGTTTATGTTAAGAGTCAGTTTCATACAAATAACTTCAAATTAAAATTAACATTCTCAATTTTGAAATATCCACTGAACATGCCCTGTTCTTTCAGATTCCATGTCTTTTACATACTGATTTTCCACCCAGAAAGCCCTTCCCATACTTTTCACACTCATCTTTTGAGGCTCAGATTAAAATTACCACTCTTGAAGTGTTCCTCAATTCCTCTGAATAGAAATATTCAACTTTTCTTATTTGCTACCATTACACTTCTTTCACAGTGACAGTTACACTGTAATAATTATTTTCTCATCTAACCCCCACTAGATATTTGGTTTATACAATACAAGGATAGTAAGATAGTCTTTGACTTTGCCCTACAACTTTGTATACAAATGTCTCTCCCTCAATAAATATTTAAATGAATGAATAAACAGTTAAGATTCCATTATAAGGCCATGCTGTCCTCAAATACAATCATCTAATAAAGAAAAATTATAGAAAATATCAGTCTTCAAAGACTAAAGACTTTCAACCAAAAACTCTTTAAACAGAGGGTAGAACCACAAATTGCCATATTCTACCATGTACAATGCATACCAACATTTTTGGCCCACACTTTCAGAAAAAATATCTTTTAATTTTTAATTCAATTATTTATTTATTTATATTTAGATACTTGTTGTTTGCATTATAAAGGAATTTTAGCACTAATTTTTGAACATATTATGGTACAAGAAATTTTATATAACTAATAATTACAAAACACAAGAAGAGATACAAGGTATTTCAGGTACTACGCATGTATAATGCACATCCTTATTTGTCCCTCAAAAATTCAGGCAAAAAAGTATGATTATACACAGCAAAATACGGCACTCTAATTGTGCTGTAAATATTATTTTGAGTTGAAATGCTGTCCAATGTCAAGAGTTAGACAGAAAGAGCAGCCATGGTAACTTGTTCTAGTTCAAGGTCCTTCTTGCTGCCATATCCTACAGCATTCAAACAGAAGAAATTTAAGTCAATGAGTACAGCTTGAAGAACAAGATACTTTTATAAGTAAAAATGTAAAATTACTTAAGAAAAATTCTCAAGATCATATTTCACCAAATCTTTTGCACAGCAATCCCTGGTGCTCTGGTTAAAAATGAAGACTGTAATTTGGTACATCTGGCTGGGAATTGAAGTTCTACATTTTTAAAAAGCTCTCTGTGACCTGGCTGGTATAGCTCAGTGGATTGAGCACAGGGGGCTTCCGAACCAAAGGATTGTAGTTCAATTCCCAGTCAGGGCACATGCCTGGGTTGCAGGCCAGTCCGTAGCAGGGGACACAAGAAAAGCAACCATACATTGATATTTCTCTCCCTCTCTCCTTTCCTTCCCCTCTAAAAATAAATAAATAAAATCTAAAAAGCTCTCTGTTGAAAATGTTGCTGGTCTACAAACCACACTTTAGCACAGATGAATATTATATTTCCTCAGGTCCAGGCTGGGCTTGTCTCAGTTTTAACTAGCATACCTTGTTAATAGTCCTTGCTATAACCTATCTTGATGGTGTTAATTATATAAAACATTACTGAAAATTTGATGAGAAGAAATCTATGTTACTTGAAAAACAGTGATTTGTTCTTACCTATACTCTGGTAATGCCATCGAAAGAAAATGCGTTCAGGTAGAAACTGCAGTATTTTCTAGAAAACAAACAAAAAAATCATAAGAAAATAAACTATAAATGAAATTACACATTTTCATGATAGATCCATATTACTTACTATATACATTGCAGAAAAAAAATTATGTGCAATAACATAAACACTGCACTTTATCCTGTGCCCCATGGGACAGTTTCTTTTACTTGCCCCATGAAAGCTTCCCTGAATGTTTTAAAGAGATTCCTGCCCCACATTTAATTTCCTCCTACTGAAAAACAAAAGCAAAAAAAAATGAAACGAAAAATTTATCTTAATTAAATCACTGCCATTACTTAAATATTAAAAGAGTAATTTCTCAAATGTCATATTGCCCAGGTTTCTTGTTTTTCACCTTTCACTTCCTACTTCCATTATAATCATTGTTAGTCTCTGGACAAGAAACAGAGTTGGGAAGAAAGATGAACAAAAGAGGATAAGACCATAAACAATTCTGTGGAGTAATAAAATGAAACTAGTGGCAAAAATTTCTTGAAATTAGTAACAGCTAAACATAAGTTTTAGGGCTGTAGTTATGTATCTGCCCATTGGAACATAGCAAAAAGACAAATTTACAATATACAAGAATATTTGGCTAATAAAAACAGCCCCCCACCAAAAACAAACAAACAAACAAACAAACAAACAAACGAATGATGGTTACACTTTTTTCACTCTAGAACAAGTTTTGGCAAGTTATCCTTGGGTATTATGATTCCTTCTACTTTATCTGCAACTACCTTTTTAAAAAAAAGTAGAACTACAAAACTAGACAATATAATGTTTCTTGGTATTGATAATACTTTACTATTTTACTATGAAAATCCTCCACCTAGGTTTATCTAGCTCAGAGATTTTCAACCTTTTTCATTTCATGGCACACACAAACTACTAAAATTCTGCAGCACACCAAAAATATATTTTTCATCAATCTGACAAAAAATAGGTATAATTTTGATTATTCTGTGTTGACTGTTGTCATTTTGCTTTTATTTGACAATCTATAGGAAAAGAGGTTAATGTCCCTGACTAATCAGGTATTGCATGTTTTAAAAATTCTTGTGGCACACATGTTGAAAATCACTTATCTACTCCTAATTCTCTAACATTTTGAAAGATTAAGGTAAATATTTTATATTCAGATCTCCTGATAATTGTATTTCTAGGCAGCTAATAAAGTGCCTTCTGCATTCAAGTCAGCTTGGGGTTTGGTTTGGTTCGGTTTTGTATTAACTTTTTAACTGGGTCAGTAACAATACACATGTATTTACTTAATTTGTTCTCACTTGACAATAAAGGGATATGTAAAAATTTCTGGGAAGGAGACTTCTGGCCAAAATGGAGGCATAGGTGGAAACACTGTGCCTCTTTGCACAACTAAGTTTAAAGATGACAAAGTTTTAGTAGCAAAAACGCAACCAAAACACAAAAAATTGAACTGTATGAAAGTCCGACAACAATGAATCATTCAGCCAGACTGGTAAAAGGGGCATAGTCAGCGGCTGGCAGAGCAGGGTTGGGCAGGAAAAAGAGGCCAGACCAACTCAGGAGCAAAGGTAGTGGTTGGCAGATCCCAGGTTTGGGGTGGCAACTGGCGGACCCAGTGAGGGCGCAAGGCAGCTGGCTGACCACAGTCACACATTCGTGCACAGGTGAAGGAGCAAGCAGTGAGACAGACCTGCAGGCTAGGGCCCTAGTGACTAGAATTAAAGCCGAAAAGCACCAACTGGAAAAACTTTCGGGGTCGAGTTGCTGGGAGAAGCTCCCAGGCTCACAGAGAGTTTCTTGGAGAGACCCACGGGGTCCTGGAGGGGGCAGAGGCTTACACACCGAGGAACCAGCTCCAGGGGGGGCCAGGTTTGCTTGAGGGAAGCAGCAGAGGGGACCGAAATCCAAGAGAGAGAAGAACAAATGCCATTGCCCCTCTCTGACCCCGCCCCCACATACAGCATCACAAACCAGGGACCTGGGTCACCCCACCCTGGTGACACCTAAAGCTCCGCCCCTCATATGTAACAGGCGTGAACAGACCAAAACATTGTGACTCAAGAACAGCTCAAAGCCCCAGAGCCAATATTTCTAAGCCACCAACAGATAGCCAACCTATCAGATGCACAGTTCAAAACACTGGAGATCAGGATGCTCACAGAACTGGTTGATTTTAGTCACAAATTAGAGGAACATATGAAGGCTAAACTCATTGAAATGAATGGAAATGCACAGGAAACCAATACTGATGGAAAGGAAACTGGGACTCAAAACAAGGGAGCAGACCAGAAGGAAGAAAAAAATGACCAAACAGAAAAGAATGAAGAAACAAGAATTCAAAAAATAAGGAGAAGCTTAGGAACCTCCAGGACATCTTTAAATGTTCCAACATCCAAATTATAGGGGTACCAGAAGGGGAAGAGGAAGAGCAACAAGTGGAACACTTATTTGAACAGGTAATAAAGGAGAACTTCCCCAATCTGGCAAAGGAAATAGACTTCCAGGAAATCCAGGAAGCTCAGAGAGTCCCAAAGAAGTTGGACCCAAGAAGGAACACACCGAGGCACATCATCATTACATTAGCCAAGATGAAAATGAAGGAGAGAAAGAATCCTGGAAGCAGCAAGAGATAAGGGGACTGTCACCTACAAAGGAGTCCCCAACAGACTGTAAGCGGATTTCTCAAGAGACCTTACAGGCAAGAAGGGGCTGGAAAGAAGTATTCCAAGTCATGAAATCCAAAGACGTACAACCAAGATTGCTCTATCCATCAAGCTTTCATTTAGAATGGAAGGGAGATAAAGTGCTTCTCAGATAAGGTCAAGTTCAAGGAGTTCATCATCACCAAGCCCTTATTATACGAAATGTTAAAGGGACTTATCTAAGAAAAAGAAGATAAAAATATGGACAGTGAAAGGACAGCAAACTCACAGTTATTAACAACCACACCTAAAAACAAAAGCAAACTAAGAGGACAGCTACATCAGGAGCAGAACTATAGAAATGAAGATTACATGGAGGGTTAGCAACAGGGGAGTGGGAGGAGGAGAAGTGGGGAGAAGGTACAGAGAATAAGTAGTATAAACAGTAGGTAGAAAACAGACAGGGGGGAGGGCAAGAATAGTATGGGAAATATAGAATCTAAAGAACTTGTGACACATGGTCATAAACTAAAGGGGGGGAATGGGGGAAGGGATGTACAGGGTGGAGGGGAATGAAGGGGGGGAAATGGGACCACTGTAATGGCATTATCAATAAAATGTATTAAAAAGAAAAAAAAAGAACTTCTGGGAAAAGGCAAAACAAGTAAACTTCCATCAAACATGACTTGAAATGGCACAGACTGTTCCCCTCAGTCTGGATACTTCTTCACCCATAGCCTTGCACAGAAGGGATAACCCGACCATCCAGGTCTCACTACAATGCCACCTTCTCATGGAGGCCTTTTAAAATTCTATCAAGAGAGGCCTCCATCTCATAACACCCCACTGGTGCTCTCTGCATCACCTGTTCAGTGTTCATAGTCCTCATCCCTAGGGAAAGGATCTTGATTCACTCATTTCAAAGCAATATTCCCTCCAACAGAGTATAAGCCCCATAAAAGCTATAATATCTTCATCTTGTTCCCTGAAATATCCCCAGCACCTACAGCATGACTGGCACAGTATGTGCTCAATAAATACTCATTAAAAGGATTTTTGAAAGCCTTTAATTTGTGAAATTGTGAATTTTATAGGTAAGCCTGATCTTTGCTATGGTCCTATGTTCACATTTACTAAAATATACTTTGTCTTTCCTTAAATGTCATTTGCCTAATAATACTTACGTTAAAATATGTGGGCATAGTTTAACCCTTAGTAAAGAAAACTCAAAAAAATTTTAAAAGCTAATTTTTCAAGATTTGATAAATATAAGTACTAAAATATAAATGTACTTAGTCACATTATTTATTACAAATTCTTCAAATTACACATCCACACAGACAACAATGCTGTACAAACTATATCAAAGATTATTTGATTATATACTAAAAGCAGTACATAGCTGATCACATGCTGAATCACTAAAGTTAATGTTCTCCTACATTTCCTTTGAAGACTTCCCCTAGAACATGTTGGTTTGTTATCTTTTAAGATCCTTCTCTAAAAGTATATCTTACTTTACCATGTGATAATGCTAACATACACTCACACACACAGAGACACGTACAATGTGGTATGTATATGTATCAAATTCTATTTAATGAAAAATACCTACAGATACTAAACTTGACATTTGAAATAAAATAAATGTAAATGAAATACTTAGTTTTTTACTTCTAAGGGTTTTGACTGGTTAGCAAGAGAGACAGTAAAGGAATTACTGCACTGGCCAAAAAGATCATTCGTTTTTTTCCATATTATGGCTCTACTACCACTTAGTTGTCTTTAACTTCATTTGAAACATTTTTGTTAGACTGTATTGTGACAGCTATCCTAACAGTGTGCATTTAAAAAAAATCAAAATTGGTGAAACTTTTGTGTAGCAATTTTAGTATTCAACATGGAAGAAACCATGCAACATTTTCAGCATATTATGCTTTATTATTTCAAGAAAAATAACAACACAACTGAAATGCAAAAAGATCTGTGCAGTGCATGGACAAGGTACTGTGATTGATCAAACATGTCAAAAGTGGTTTGTGAAGTTTTCTGCTGGAGCTTTCTTGCTGGATGATGCTCCATGGTCTGGTAGACCAGTTCAAATTGACAGCAATCAAATTGAGGCATTGAGAACTATCAATAAAGTTACTGGTGAAAATGAAAAATGTGTCTTTTATTTCACAGAAAAAACTAAACAGACTTTTTGGCCAACCCAGAGCCAAAAGGAGAAGTGGGGGGAAAGCCTGATACAGTTTGTATTTCCTTATTGTATCAATAAGGAGAAGGGGGGAAGCCTAATACAAGAGTGTATCAGGTGCTGCAGAGATGAGGGGGGAAAGTATGTCATCTCAGTAAGGGCATCATAAAATGCTT